ACAGGCCTCTCTCATCTTTTTAAGTGGGAGAACTTGCACAGTTGGTGGCTGACTAAATACTTTTTTGCCCCACTGTAGTATATGAGATTCTTTCTACAACCCTCCTTAAGAAACAGCAAGTTTTATACACATATCACTTTATTTTAAAGTGGAAAGTGGAAAATGATCCAATAATTTACAATATCTTGCCTATATATAAGAAGTTAAGCTTTAAGGTTTTTATTTAATTTCTACATTAATCAGCGAAATAGGGATGAGAGGACATAACATATGACCTTAACCAAATTTTGGCATAACTGTAATATATGCTTCATTAAATTAAGATGATAAAATACCACTTTCAGAAATGTTACTATGTAACTGATAAAATTTAGAAATAGATCAATGTTTATTCCATTCCACTGGAAATCCATCCAGTCCTGATGCTTTACCATTACTCATATTCAATATCACTTTTTTATCTCTTCCATTGTCAAAGGAATCTAATTGTGGAAGGACAAATTTTAGCTAAAAAAAGTGATTATATCTCCATCAGATAAATGTCAGATTTATCATACGTCTGAATTTTTTTTTTTTAATCAAAACATTTAAGAGAACTATATAGCTTATTTCCATCTTTGATGGCTATAACAATATTCTGTTTTGTTTCTTTTTCTATAAGCAATTTGTCAAGCTCCTGCCCAGATTTTCACCATTTGATCAAACTCAATTTGCTGTGATATTATTCAACTCATAGTTTGTTGAATCTCCCTATATAGATTGATGATAAGATATCTGGCCATCTATCCAAAGAGTTTTCAATTTATTTATCAGATTACTCTCATGCATATTTTAAAACTTCTTTTTATATGATGCATATGCAATAATATGACACACATATAAAGATTATATGAGGTTCCCATTCAAAGATTAAGGGTTTCTGCATTAAATTCAATGTATTGTAATGAACTAATCTATTTTGTTCACTATCATTCAACAGAGACATTAAAAAACTACTTCCAAGTAGTAAGCTGTTGAATTTGTAAATTTAAATTTAATTGGACTGTGATCTGATAGATAAGAGATGTCAATTATGCACATTTGATGTGTTGAAATAATACTGAGGAAACCCAAAAGTAATCAAATTTTAAAAATTGTTGATGCACAGCTCTATAAAAGATACAATCACATTGCTTAGATCAATCAAGTTTAGTTCATGTATGTTCTAATTAGAGTTCTCACTAATGACTGTCCTTTACAGCTTTCAGATAATGGAATGAAATTTCTCAATATTACCATGGGACAGTCTAGTAAATTTGTTCTTTAGGTATCAGTTTGCAATGCTTTTTTCACAATAAACACTAGGCCTTAATTCTATTGATTGTAAATTGTTACTGCAAAATAACTTATAGGTGACGTTAGTGGCAAACCCACGAAACACCAGGTTTCATTACAAAATTAAAGTCACAATAACTACAGTCAGGTCCAGAAATATTGGGACATCGACACAATTCTAACATCTTTGGCTC